TTTTTTTTTATGCCCTGAAACCAATTCTGCGGACCCACATTTAAATTTGGTATTGCATCAGACCCTCCCCTTTGTTTCTTCCATAACTGGATTTTGCATATCATCTGAAATCATGCAAAAACTTCAAGGATTGACATATTTTTACTTACATAAAGCTCAAACAAAATAGGAAGGAAGGAAACCACTGAATGCTCAGATGATTCCTAACTAATACTTTATTAAAATCAGTGTTTTTGTTTTCGGTATCCTAGTCCAGTGGGGTAATTCTTTTTGGGAGACATGCCACAAAGTAGCTCCACTTGCTCACCAAGTGCCACTCTGAACTCCCTCCCTGCCCGCTCAGCTGCTCTGCTTTCTGCTTCTTGCCCTGTGCTTCCTGCCCAACCTACGGGTTACTTTCTGCTTCCTGCCATATCTACCACTCTACTTCCTTCCCCTCCATGATCTGCCATATTTCACACAGAGGCTACCCATGCCACTTTTTGGCATGTGCCACAGGCTAGCCAGTAGCCACCTCTCTTAGTCTATATTATGACTTCAGTCAAAAAACAAAAAAAGTCACTTTTGAGCCTATTGTATGCGTGTGCTCAGGACTGGGCAGTAAACAGTGTAAAAAAGGTCCCTGCTTCTTACAGTACAGGAACATTTCAACTAACTGCACGTATTCAGGACTTTGATTTTATGCTGTCATCCAAAAAATCAGCTCTATTAAATGGATACACACACAAAATGGTTTCAGAAGCATAACCTAGCTTCCAAAAAAAGTATCAACAAAAGACAGACAGCTGGGAGAGGAAGAAAGGGGTACACAAAGTATATATCAGAAGACACAGTGTTTCACTTACACTCTATTCCTTCCAAAAGGATCTGAAATCTGAAACCCAAGATCCTAACATCTGAGCCTTTACTTAAATTCTCCTGGAGGTGCACTAGCAGGTTTAAACTGAAGATGTTCTAGAGTAAAGTGACCTAGCTATATATAACAAAAGTATGACTCAAATGCTAGAAATACCAATTCTGACACGTAATCATAGCATAAGATGCAACACTCCTTTATCAAGATTTAAGTATAAACTGTTCTGCTGATACCTGTGACCATTACCAACAGAGTTCTACTCTACATGATGCATGTAATGGCATGTAGCAGGTAAAAGTAAGACCAGCCACTCCTGCATTTCTGAGACTTAGCCTGTTATTAGACAAGCAGATAATGCAAAAAGAACAGAGTTCAAGATGAACCAATCCTTGTGAGAATGGATCTGGAAGTAGCAGCAGTCTGCGAGCGGACAACGATGACATCTGCATCACCGTCTGTATGCAATAACGTTGTTCAAAGCTGGGGATGTTATCAAAGTAATCTAAGCCTTCTTTCTGATTAGTTTATGAAGAAGTATAAAACAAAATGCATATGCTGGTAGTAGAATTCATGCCAGTAAAGAACATATTACATCTGCTGTTCTTACTGCCTCCTCTGATTATTTGATGCATTAAATTCTTATTTTACTGCTTTCTTTCAAGGTAGTAACAAAACCAAGAAAAAAAAAATTACCTTCCATTTGGCAGTGCACCATCTTCCAATTCAACAATGACCCTGGATACAGCAGTGGCCTGAACAGCCAATCTTCATTTGTCTCATAAGTCATGTTTGGGTGCTCCAAGTCCTGCCCAGCCTGGTGCACTGATTCCACAAGCATCCTCCTCTTTTCCACTAGTGAGATAAATCATGCAAGCCCAACATCTACTCTAATTCAGTAATTCAAAAAGCTATGTGGATTTCAGAAGGCCAGCAGGGCACAATACACTTTTCAACTCCAAGACATCTATCCTGCATAGACTGTGAACTAAATTCCACCTCTAGATGCAGTCCCAAAAGACTTCAGTAGGAACAACATGTACATATGCAAGAATAAGTTTTAGATACTAATTTTTTTCTTCAAAAACTGTTCTCTCCACAATCCCCAAATAAGCTGTCTATATGGATCGTGCTGGACAAAAGTCTCTTTGCATATTTATTTTCCTCAAGACAGTTTAAAGCTGAAATCCTATATGACTACAGGATTCGAGAGAGATGGGTGCAACAAAAGTTCTCCTTCTTAATCAGTTTTCCAAATACTTTGATGGGGAAAGGGGGGGGGGGGGTGGAAATCAGCTTGACCTGACCAATCACATCCCCAAGCATTAAAAACTTGCTCTTTTAGAAACCATTTAATCTTTCATCCTATATGGTAAGGGTTGCCAAAATATGGAATGGGCTTCCAAGGGAGGTGGTGCTCGCCCCAACCCTGGAGGAGGCTAGACAGGCACGTGGCTGGGGTGGTCTGACCCCAGCACTCTTTCCTGCCCAGGGCAGGGGATCAGACTCAATGATCTGCTAAGGTCCCTTCAGACCCAGACATCTATGAATCTATCTTTTTAAATTAAACAAATCCAACTTTCCTCCTATGGCCCTATTTTAAAGCTGCAATTTTTCCAAGTATGAATGCTGCATGAATATTCTTTAAATCACCTTACAAAGGTCTAGGCCCTCTACTAAAACATATATGGGTTTCAGATATCCAGATGAAAAGTCAGACAATGAATGCAGGATTTTGTAGTATAAGATACTGATAAGGTTACAGTAATTTTTTTCTTGAGGTTCAATTTGAAATGCCAGAAGCAGATGTCTTTATATTTATGTTAAGAGGAGAAGGCAGGGATTAATCTAAACCTTCTGCCATCTCTCTTCGCAGAATGTGTTGCGTCTATGCTGGTTCTGGCACTACAAATTAAGCACCAACAATTTTTCCTTGCCTCCTACCGATGGTATTAAACTGGCACAAAGACTAAATATTCGGTAAGGAGCCCAACTCAAGAAATCTGAGACTGCAAACTTCCTGTAATTTCCTACTTCTGCCTAGTTTAAGGGCTATCCTCAATGTTGGATGCTAAATATTGGTGAATTCCTTATAAGAGATGCAGAGGAACTGTTGCACACAAAAAAGTAAATCTCAACATCTCTAAAGGAAAAGACAAGAAGGCTGCATGCCACATTTTTCTCCAAGTTTTTCAAAACTTGGGCTCTGCTGGTGGCCTTGTAAGTCTAGCTTACTACTTTATGGACACAGAAATGTGCATCATAACAGCCATTTTTTTCCCTCCCAGGTAACCACAGGCAACTTCCAGTAGAGTAAACAGGAGCAGTGCCTGCCAGTTTAAGGGTACAGGCTGGCCTCAAAGCCTTAATTCTAGCATGATATAGTGTGGCCAAATCCTGAACGGCATAACCAATTAAGCATTTTGCCTTTCTGAGTAATAAAATTAATACAAATAAAGTAATAAAACTCCTACATAAACCCATTTAGGAGTATTTTAGTGTATAGCATTGTCTAACGCTTAAAAAAAAATACCACTGTAAGATTCAAAGCTATCACCTAATTTTCCTTCTTTCTGTCAAAGAGTTAGCTCTACCACAGAGTATCTTACTATAAAACACTTTATGGAACGTGACAGCAACGCAGACTTTGGCTTTTGAGAGTTTATCTAAACAGTCTTTGTAGGCAGTTAAAAAACTGACATTTTACACTTCACCATTTACAAGCCTAACCTTACAGCTTATTCCACCTCCAATTTACTGCCACTGAATTTAGGTAATTTTTTTTTTTTTTTTAATTTGGACTACAGCCTACCCAGCATAATTATGTTTTGTTCACTTCTCTAGACCAGTGGTCTCCAAAGTGGGGTGCGCACACCCCAAGGGGGGGAAAAGACAATCCATTGGGCTGCAGGAAGAAAATATTAGAATTTATATTTATTTTTTATCTAAAAAAAATAAGAAAGAAATTAAGCTTTACTAATATTTAATATACAGATTGACACTGGCGCCCGTATGTCAGATGGTCACGTGTCACGTACAGTATGCAAGGTATCCTGAGGGAAGAGTGGGAGTTCCACAATGCGGAGGGGTTGACAGTGGCGCCCTCACTCGTTTGTTCACTTTCAGCGCATTGCAACGTATATATTGGGGGTGCATGCTCAAAAATTTTTTACTGATGGGGTGCGCGATCAAAAAAGTTTGGAGACTACTGCTCTAAACCACTTCTATTTTTACTAGCTCTTTTTCAAATGGAGCAACCTAAAATAAACACAGGATATTCACGTGAAGGGAGCATCACAGCATTATATAATGGCATATTTAGTATTTCTGGCCTGTTCTTTATACATCTTAACATTTCATTTGTTTTGATTGTCGTTGTGCACCAAAAACGAGGGTTGGAATGAACCCCAGGTCACATCTAGTCCATCCCCCTGTTCAAAACAGGACCAGCCCCAACTAGATCATCCCACCCAAGGCTTTATCTAATCCAAGTCTTAAAAACCTCTAAGGATGGAGCTTCCACCACCTCTCTAGGTAACCAGTTTCAGTGCTTTACTACTCTCCTAGTGAGAGAGTTCTTCCTGATAATGAATGCAAGAGAAGCTCAGGTTAGTTAACAAGAATATCCAGTCCACCACTGTGCTCCACATTCACCTGTTCCATCAATGCAGAGTTCCCAAAGGTTAATTTAAGATTAAGATTATTAGCCAAGATTGGAATAATCTGAAAAATGTGACCTCACTGTGCACATTTATCTTTAGATTTAGTTTTCCAAGTTTTCAACCTTTTTTGTCACCTTCTTGTCCTCTGTACCTCAACAGGAGCAATTTTACCCTCTCCTCAGTGGCTTTCAAAACACTACTAAGATCATCTTCCTGGATCATTACTGGATACCACCTTCCTTTTTCATACTTCTAGCGTACCAGTTTTCAACCTTTTTTCATTTGCGGGCCTCTGAAACAATGTTGAATGGAAGGGCAGACCCCTTTGAATTGTAAGTGTGAGTATTCACATACTTTCAATTGATCATAATCATCTTTCCAGAACCTGTTAGACAATCTGCAGCCTCCCAGGGTCTGTGGATCACAGGTTGAAAACCACTGTTCCAGTGTCCCTGCAGAGACTAGCACACAAAACACAAGCTTCTATCTTTGCCTTTAAGGCCCATCAATCTCCCCTGCTCATCGGCTGCCACCTCCATTTTTCCTCACTTTTTCACTCTTTTATGTACTTACTACCAGTGCTGCTCATAATCCACAAAGCTATTACTTCATCCTCCAAAAGAAGTGTTTCGTAGCTTTAAAAATGACTATGCTACTGGAAAACTTGAGGCATGTGTTGTTACAGTATATAGAGTATATATCCCATTTTAACTTCTTGCCTTCCCCAAGCATTCCCCCCTCTTTTACCACCTATTCCTTGCTTTTTTCTCTTGCAAATTTTAAGAAGGTGTTCTGATTATAAAAGGTTTCTGAGGCTATAAGAACATTATAGTGAGAATTGCTGTTTTACCTATAGTTCTCTAGACAGATTTCTGCATTGCTACCTGTGCTTTCATAATCAAAGCACTAATGCCCAACACAGTGGAAAGCACAGGTCTAACCAGTTTGCTTTTCCTCCTTGTGTTTCACAATAGCATCAACAATTAACTTCTGTGGGATTATCACAGAAATTTTTAGGTTTGGCCCGGTGCCTTAAAACACCCTTTGAGGTGCACTCTAATCACCTAGTAACACACTGTCTAGCAGGTCTCATTGCTTAAGGGTATCATGTAGAAGTAGCATCAACAGCCAAACCAGCATTCAATGATGTCTAAGATTATTATGCAAATATAATTGCTAAAGCATGTGTAGTTTACAAAATTATAGCTTCCTTATGCTGACAAGTTACTAACTGACTAATCAAAGTTCAGGCAGTTAAATTCTATATTATTCAAAAAATCAGCCCGTAAGAGCGATTCAGCTGGTTCTAACACTTTGAGGCTCTGTGAATATGCTTGTGAGCATTCAAGGGCCAGCAAATCCTACAAAATCTCAATCTGTATTGCCAATATTGAGGGTTCAAGAACTCCTCACTCAAACACCTCCCACCCGAGAAACCAGGCTTCATTTTTCTGCTTCCTAACTTCCAAGTCAGTAGGATATACTTTTGTCACAATTCAACCAGAATCATCAGGAATAGAAATGTATGAATGGTTTGACCTCCCCTCCCCCCTCACTCACCCGAATAAAATTATCAAATTCCAGGAGCTGGGATTTAGGAAAAACCACCGAATAGTCTACGAGTTGGCAACACTAGTTGGAACACCACCATTGTTACTAATGCAGCAACCATAAACAGGATGAAAAAAAAATCATTAAAAGAGACTCCTGTTCCAAATGGCAGTTACCAACTTGGCAACATAAGGCCTAACCTAAACCCACTGAAATCAGAGGAAATACTGTCACTGTCTCAGTGATTCTCAAGCCAGGGTGCCATGGCATGCTACAAAATGCTTTTAAGGGTGCAGCACAATACTAATGCTATTAGATATGCAAAGATGCACACAATTCACAAGACATACCCAGAGATTTCAAATAGGAATCCACAGTAACAAAAGTAGATACCAGAAGTTACCCAAAGAACCCTGTCTGCCCAGTTTACCCACACACACACACACACACACACACACACACACACACACACACACACACACACAC